CCCATTATTCACACTGAGTGGTTGGCATTAAATTAGATGTGTGAGTGAGTGTGTAATGTGCTAAACGTCACTGTGTGAAACCTCGCGCGTCCGTTCTCAAGCTCATCAGGCGGTCCAAGTTGTTGACTATTTTTCATCGCTTTGACTTCGGGTCATAACAAATTCATTCGCGTGATCCGATTGGTTATAACAAAATCGCCTAATCATCTAATTTCCTGCATAGCCGAGTCGTTCATATTTACCAGCAAACTGTGAGGGTGAATTATGGAAGATTTAGCTAGACGATAGGACGATAAAATAATTGCAACACATTTCGGCTATTTCGGCCATTCTGGTTGCTGCAAATATTGCTTTTAACGTGTTACTAAAGCTCATATGTTTGAATGTAACATATTACGAGTTTTTTCTTGACCTCATATGTAGTAATCATCCATTGATAGACATGCCTCTAAATAACCTTCCAACAGCATCGTTACATAATTTATTACGCATAATTACGCTTGTTATGAAGGCTGTCGATGCAACAAGATAGGTGCGATGAATACGGGATAGAAATTTGCAGGCGCATCGAAAGTGGGTATATGATTTAGACCGACCTTTCGATGCATAATTTAACCGAGCAAACAAGTGGAACACAGAGCCAGCGATACTTGAGTCCTGCCGGCATGACAAATCGCACAGATGCATATGTACATGTAGTCTTAACATCAAACTGACAAAGTCAAATTTCGTCCGATGGATTCCAAAAGTGGCTGTAAAAAGATACTCGTCATATTAATATTGTGCTAGCGATCACAAATGCAATTGTTGGAAAAGATAGATAGTACCTAATCCTCACTTCCATACCGACAGATAGAAACATAGCGATAAAGACAAAACAAGAGTCTATAATCTGTATGCGTTGATTTCACAAGACGATCGAATAATCAGTGAGCTGGTGCTGATCTATGACTTTGAAGGTGCCGAGTTTGACAAATGATGGGCGGTGGCGGCTGCGGCGGGCGGCCAAGGACAGTAGGTACTCTGACCAGTCCGTGACCCGCGCCTCCGCTGCCGCCCCCGCCCCCGCCCGGACTTCCCTTCCCCTCCACATCCCCGGTGCACGTCCACCATAGTGGAGTGGAATATAATATCCGCCTGCAACTGCAGATGGCAGCGAGTTATGTTGTGCTGGGGCCTGGGAGTACACCATGCAGAAATGGTTGACCAGCCTAGAAAGTTATTAATAAAAAAAACATGAAAAGAACGGAACAGCTTCTTCGGAATAATATTTCCTAATATCGAAACATTGCAAAACGTAGAAAATAGAACACTGGAGTAAAATCCCACTTATTCACCAGGCTAGTTCAGATAACTGATGGTTTTAGTTGTCCGTATTAATGACCGTTCTCTTCGTCTCAGACTGATGTTCCTACCAAGCAGCCGTACCAAGGTCGCTGTAAACAAGCTCACCGCTCACGACTTCACGAGTCGCTGACGTGACTTCACAGCAATGTGCGGTGGGCGGTTAAATTGTTAGCCAGGGTCTGAATATGATGCAGAGTTCGTGATCGAGGTGTTATTTCTGGAGCCGCGATTTCACAGCGCCGTAGACAAAGGGTTCAGAGGAAAATGGCCATGATATTCGTTTTAAAGCGGCTTCCTGAAATGCTGTAATGACGTTTCACGCAGTTACTGATTAAACCTTAAGATTGGTATACATATAATTAAAGCAGCAACCAAAAAGTGTATCATTTCATCATACATTTACTAAATACGGGACGGTCCCTATTGCGTGCATAAATTGCGAATTGATTATGTTTAATGGTAACTTAATGGTAAATATAACTAGAAAATAACGCCTATAAGTATACACACACAGAAATATTGAGCGATGTCAAGTTCAATATACTCGTAAATAGTTCAAATAGCTTCAAAGTTCTGCTTCACGTAGTAAAATATCTTTAGTTTAAGTATTTACGTGATAAACAAGCAAGGTATCCGTCGCACAACGCCATAATAAGTAAAGGCATCAAGAATAAGTTTGTTTTAATACGACGTTTATTGGTTAACTAACAAACATCGGCAGTTTTATTACACCACACAAGCATCTTTACGCAAAACAGGATAATGTAACAGCATAACAGATGTTCAAATACCTAATTGATATGTTTTCATGCAAAGCAAGTGTATCCATAAGCGAATGAGTGTTGTGTCACACTGGTAATTGCGGTACACATCCAGAGCACCGTTCGTTTACGTCAACCCGTGTAAATTTAGCGAAATTTTGAGCTAAATGCTGACGGCGGCGGCGCCATTTTCGCAATCTGTCAGTTGTGCGCCGGGGACCGCGGGGGCCGGCGGGGGAGTGTTGTGGCTGCAGTGCGCAGAGAGAGTTTGCCCATTCTTGTGACATCAGTGAGATAAAACAGTGCTGTGGTGTTTATCTAGTTGGATAATAAGCTGAGTAATGAGTGAATAAGTGAATAATAAGTGAAATACTGCATTGTGGTCATCGTCTGATAACTGCAATCAAGACCGAGTCGGAAATCTGAAGCGGAGCGACATCGGAGGAGCTGCTGGAAATTATCCAGCTTTGTCGGAGTGCTAAGGTGGGCTTGTAATTTTTCAACTGAACTGCTGTCGTGTTATGAAAATAATGGATGCACTTTCATGCTTTTCTAGGGTTAATTAGGTATAGGTATGCTAATATTTTGCCAGATAGGCAACAGAGAGCCGATGGCTAATTAAATGAACGGTAATTTTGGCACAGTGAAGTAGTCGTACAGATGACATATTTTTTATTTATCAATTACGGGCAGTTGACGGGAGACGGGCGGTGGCTGCGGCCTGTAGCGGCGCCCATGCGTTGTGAAATATCAGCTTATATACATCATAAGGTATATACGCTAATCTAACTTTTATTTCCGTCAGATGTCATGTCGATTCTTAACAATAAACGACAAACAAACAAACGTGTTTGCAGCATGGGGTAGGCATTGAGCATCACAATGTTTCGTTGCATTTAGCTAAGGCTCGCGGCTGGCGACAACGTCCCGCCGTGTGTCGCTTGCGTTACAAATTTTGCGGGCCCAACATTAGCTTTACCAGAAAAAATCGTTATAATAACCGTCTTATTTGTGTAAATCTACCGCCATGAATTTGTGTACGATTACCACGCGAGTGTTCCTTTTGGTACTTTTTACCAAAAACACATATTTGTGCGTAAATGTAACGCGAGATCCGCGGTAAAGTTACACTGAAAGCGGTTCTCCTACACAATAGTGAAGCACTCCGAAGCTAGCAAAACACACATATAAGTGTTCTTTTACGCAGAAAACAGAGTAATTTTACACCAAAAAAATGTTCCTTTTGGTACTTTCAATTACACCGTTTTTCCGCTCAATATTTCTGTGTGTATAGCTGTCATATAACACCAGAATCTATTTCTGGTCCACCTTGATCGCTTAGTTTACTTAAAAAAGAAAAAAAATCTGAATAGAATACAGTATTTCATGTCAATTATTAACGTTTTATACTGTTCTTCACTACCCATCAATACCAAAAAAAAAATGTTGGCTGTCTGCAATCCCCCCATGCTGTCCTTCCCCTATGGCTATTGTCTAACGAATTATCCACTGTTTTTTATGTGTCGTCAATATAACTCGACCAACTGTCATTGTCATTCATCTGCCGCTGTCAGTTGTCACCTGCCTCCCCTAATCGTCATCTAGTCTGCTGTCACCTGTTCATCTCTCACTGTCACTTGCTCATCCACCACAGTCACCTTTATTCCCAGTGTCACCTGTCCATCCAACACAGTCTCCTTTATTCCCAGTGTCACCTGTCCATCCAACAAGGTCATCTTTATTCCCAGTGTCACCTGTCCATCCAACACAGTCTCCTTTATTCCCAGTGTCACCTGCCCATCTAACACAGTCACCTTTATTCCCATTGTTACCTGTCCATCCACCACAGTCACCTTTATTCCCAGTGTCACCTGTCCATCCAACACGGTCACCTTTATTCCCAGTGTCACCTGTTCATCTCTCTGTCAGTGCCACCTGTCCATACACCACTGTCATCTGTTCATTCCCCAGTGTCACCTACCCGTCCATCACTGTCACCCTATCCCAACTCCCCAGTGTCACCTGTTCATCCCGCTGTCACTTTAGCTCCCACTGTCACCTGCCAATATTATCCAATCACCACTCCTCCATCTGAATCGTCTTATTCAGATGGGTTGTAGCCTCTGGCCAGACTCCCGCCAGCCTGTCGCCAGCCGTATGCATAAACGCCGTGAATATGAAGGAGTTCCCCGAGATTTCACCGGAGAATACCATATCATTATCCGCCCAGACTGGCAGCAGAATGTGGCGGCTAGGACTTTGAACTACCAATAGTCTTACTTGCCTCCGTCTATTTTATAGCAACGTCTACACTCTGAAGCTTACGGCTAACGTTTGATTTCATAGTTTAATTTCAAAAGGCGCTTTCTTGAAAGGTAAAAGTGGTTACATCACATGCATATCGGTTGATGGACAATCACGGATTCAGGCAAAAAATAGAAGTCAACATATCTTTGAGGCCTTTGAGCGATAGGAGTTACCGTCCCACGGTGCTGGACGTGGGCATAAGTTTTACTCGCGAAGCGTATTCTTTTTTAAACATCTACTTCATATACGTACCTACCTAAATCATGAATTGAAAACTATCGGAACTTCAGCGTTCAGTTTTCATTATAATATTGAAAGCCATCATTTAAATCAGCATGAATTAATACGGTTCAGAAATATATAAACGGTTACACCTACTACGGCAGTTTGTAAATCAGGTTAAAAGTAAAACATTTCAATTGGTTCCATTAAAAGAATAAAATGAACCTCGAATACCAATGGCACAGGGTTTGTGCTCTAGCAGAACATGCATGCTCGTACGTAAAGAAACAATAAACAAATCGTAAACAACAACATGAACAAATCGGAATCATCGTTCACTATCGCCACGCATTGAACACTCACCTGTTCTCCGGTGTCTCTGCCTTCCTGTCCCGATCGTCTGGCTGTGCTCACTATCCTCTCAACGAGCTCACCATGGAAAGAGCCGGAGTCACGCACCTCCCTCCCTCACCGTGGCCCGTCGACTGGGGCCCACCTGGGGTCGGGCGGTGCACCGCAGAGGAGCCGGCGTGGGCTACGCCGGAGGGTGGACACCTGGGCGTCGAGGGCGCCCTCCACCGGCCGGTCAGGGCGCCCTCCACAGGCCGGCACCGGCTCGTGCCGACACATAGAGCCGACATGAGACGACCCTTGTACATACGTCCCTATCCATTACCTATAGCTGAGTAGAGTAGTAAAGTACCTATAAATCTTGCCTTAGCGGCCTGCATGACTCTTCAAGAGACTGGCTTTGGCTCGGGCTCACAAGTCGGTGCAGTTTCCTAAAAGAGGGCCAGTGTGGGGACCTCAGATGTCATAGGACTCCATGCCCTCATGGCTTGGGGCTTTGAAATATAAATCCACGATGGAGGCTCTCCTCATTTATTCCGGCCTAAGCGGTAAGCTTTTATCAACATGTAAAGTTGTAAACTTCTAACTTGCAAACTTTGAGATCGGCGAGGGAAGTCAGAGGCCGGTGGGGGGCCTCGGAAGGGTCGGTGAAGCACTCTCGAATGACAGTATGGGCCCTCAGAGATCTGCATTGCATAATCCTCTAGAAGATTGTCATTGGCCCTCAGGAATCTGCAAGGATAATGAAGGGGGCATGGCCTGAAAGGTCGACATGGAACCCCTATCCTCCGTGAACTGCTTGGGACCCTCAGCGCATAGGCGGCGGAACGAGAGGGCACCGGGACACCGTGCCCCCCTTTGATTTTGGCATTTTAACATTAGCCCTATGGGCGGTGCAAGGAAAGAATGGGACCAAAAGTCGGCAGTGCCCCTGGCCCTCCCCCTTAATTGAAGATGTTCCGCCGCCACTGCCTCAGCAGCCAGCGGGGCCATTCGATGACGGTATTCGATGACGGCGTTCAAAGGCTGGCGAGGGGCTGTATAGACCGATGTGGGTCCCTTAGCTTAGAGACCAATATGTGCCCTTCCGAGGTGGTCTGGAACCTCGAAAGTCGGTACAGACGGTGAGGCCTCAACTCTCAAGCCCCATGGTCATGGAGCTGACGCGGGAGCTCTGAAAGGAATCCGGGTAGAGCCGAGCGAGGGCCGAGGGGGTCCAACGACGTTTTAATCACGGTAACTATAAATAGTTTTTTATGAGCTATAGGTTAGGTAGGTACCTATGAACTCCCAAATGCGACCCACTGAAGTGAGAATTACGTCATTGCTGCCAAATCCACTATAAGGTGCTGCAATATTGAATTATACCATACCACTTTATGAAAAATTACAACATGCTACGTCACGAGACCAAACAAAATAGCTACCTTTATCCAACAATACCACGATGCAGCATGCAGGGTGAAAAATCAAACTTTTGCATTTTGTCTTGATTACATTATAGAAACGTAGGCACGTTGTGTGCGGAATAAATAGGCAATATAAATGAATTTTTACCTCGTTTTAGTACCTTTTTCATTGGTCCCAAATTTAAATCAATGACTGCCTTAGGTATGATGACGTCATTAATCAATGAGGTTCTGATTTTGTTATTACTTTTGGAACATCCTTGGTTTACTAAAGGTAAAAAACGTGAGGGTGATCGTTTGTTTACTTTCGTAAAAATGGCTTCGGTTGGTGTTCGTGCTGTCTGCGCTCTACGTACTTTCACGCCAACATGCTTCAGCAGATTGCAAAATGGACTCTCTCGTAATTTCCAATTCGCGGTTCTGAGGAACTTGTCTGTGTCTCACCGCGTCTTCGCAGGTAAACTTTTAATTGTGCGTCGTGAATGTATTTACTGCGTTATGTTCTGTTTTAGATGGTGTTTTGCCATGCTAGTACGATAGTTGAAAGTTTTTTACCTTCAAAGTGTTCCCTGCCCACTAGCTTATTCATTACTCTCAATATTTTTCTCATTGGGGTTCATGGTGCCAGCTGCGAGGGTTCGTACGCGGTTGCGAATCTGTACGAGCACACTTGACAGGTGTCAGTGTGAAGCGCTGTTGCCGTCAAATGGGGTAACTTTAAAACCCAGGGTAACATTGGCATACCATGGTAACTTTGCCCCAAGGGGATAAAATCACTCCACATTACACACCACATCAGTAGGCGGAACTATGGTCATGAGTACCCAAATATAGGAACGTTCCCATTTTTGGGAACGGAGTTCCCAAATATGGGAACGGGCGTTCCCATTTATGAGAACGGAAGGCAATTTTTCGGCCGTTCTCCCACTAAAACTCAAAAGTGCATCACGTCTCAAAAAAGTGCACGCTGATTTAAGTGTCTACTAAATCTCCATAAAGTTATCTTTAATCTGACCGTGGAACAAGGAAATTGACCGTGGAATGATATTTTTAATGATTTTTTGAAAATGACAGAATGGTGGAAATATGGGTTATACGACATTTAACATGCAATTTAAAGGAAAATGAAGCATTTTTTAGTTTGAGGTAAAGTATAATAATTTTCGCCTGGTTATGAACTTTCATACTATCGACACCAGATGCTGACAAATGCAAGCGAAGACGCGGACGGTCCCGAGGTAATATTGTTGACTTTTGTGTCGGGGCGGACGACCGCGTGGAACGTGAGTGAATTTACCGAGCTACTGTTGTAAACTCAGTTTAAGCGGTTGAAAATTATCCAGCTGTATTTTATCATCCCGGAAAGACGTATTTTATTTGGATGCTAGCTGTTTAGAGTTGTTTTATAAGGAGCGTCATGAGCGTGGTTTTTGTCTTCCGTGTTTCTAAGCGTGATCGTTTTGGGGGAATTTCTCTTATATAGCTCGCTCTGTGTGGCTTATTTATAATTTTTATGCTGATTTCGATAATTCCTCGTGCCCATCCTACCAGGCCTTTTGCCACTTACACTCATCAAGAAAGGAAAAAACTAGATTTTCATTGGGACTAGGTGTTTTGAGTGTGTAACATATTCAGCGTTCCCATTTTTGGATACTTCCTTGTGCTCGTCAACTATCGGTGATAAACAGACAGGTGCTTGACATGTCTCCACCCTCAGCGCGGACGGTGGATATAGGTATGGAAGACCTTGTTGAACATCGCTGAGCGTTGTGAATTACGTAATCCTGCAGAGGGGGGCGTGCCCGCTGCGAGATCGACGGGAATAAAAGCGCAGAAGACCGGGCGAAACATGCGACGGTCTTGCCGGAAAGGTCATCTGATGATTGTTGCGTTAACAATAATTTGCGGCGTTGGACGTGATGCTTGTTAATGAAAAGAGCCCCTGAAAGGCGTCGGTGAAATCGTTCCCAATTTTGGGTACGCCGTTCCCATAATAAGGAACGCTTGCAGCGCCAGTGTACGAGAGCGTTCCCAAATTTGGGCTCGCGGCCCGGATGATGGACTGCTTTAGAAATAGGGGAACGATTTGAAACTACGATGGGCCTTACAATATCAAACTCTTTCCCAACAATATTGAGACAAAAATCAGGCGGTTCACGATCGTTTTATATTTTTTGGACGTCATTTAACGGTTCTTTTTCTTGTTTTAAATAATGCCTACATGGCGTTCCCATATTTGGGTTTATCGTTCCCAAACATGGGAACGAAAATGCGTTCCCGAAAATGGGTACGCTTGACCATAGTTCCGCCTACTGACATTACACACTCTCTGCCTTTGTAAAAACAGAATGTTGAGTGATTTTATCCCCTAGGGGCAAGGTCACCACAGTATGCCAATGTTACCCCTGGTTTTAAGGTAACCCAAATTTACATTGCTTCCTGGAAATGTAAGGGATGGGCTGAAAAAATGCTGTGCTGCTGCCAAATGTAATTGATCTTCATTCTACCAATCTTACTTCACTTAATAAAACATGCACAATTTTCAACTAACCTACAAATTTGAGATCAAAGTGCAGTACATGTATGATTTTTTGCACTTCTTGCAGGCTTTATTTCCTGTATTCACAAATTGGAAGTGCTTAGATGATGTACCCTGAGACCTAAAACATCAAGATGTATACCTGTATCATTATGCACAATTCATTTCTCTGATTATTCAGGATTGAGAACTTGACATGTATTCTGGTTGATTGTCCTGGTCCCAGTCCTTCATCATCCTGGTTGATCATCTCTGAACTATGAAATGGAGGTGTTGTATTCAATTTCAGTCATCATATCAACAAAATGAATATAAGATATTAGTGTACATTATATGATGTTAACATTAGGGTATATACTTGTTCTGTCTCTTTATCCCAAATATGATGCTTGTAACATTATCTGATAATTTCTCTATTGAAGCTCATTGTAGGGTGAGGAAGGATTATACCTAATTACTTTATTATTTAAACCATTCTTGAGCTTGATTCATGGATCATCATTTCTTTTAATAATAATGGTATTAGTGCCAAATAAATGCAGATGAAACAAGTTAAGAATTTAGAAAAGTTGTATTTTATGACATTATACCTAATCATTTTAGAGGATTTCCAATGAAGGAGGAATTCCATAGTGATATCAGTTTCATGTTATGTTGATTGCCATCAGTGGCGGCGCCACGAATTTTCGCCAGTGGGGGCAAGCTTGAGGTGACCCGACTGTTGTCTGATACGCCAATCTGCAAAATCCATGAGCAACTTGCCCCTAGATGTTGCCATTCAAAATTATTATGGTACTCATGTGACCTCGAATGACCTTTGGTTGACTTTGACGCATGAAAAGTCCTTTGTGATGATTTCGTAGCCACTGATCACGATTCTGGCATCCATTTTGCTCTAAGCATTCATTTAAAGGATGGGAAAACATGTCTTAATTAGGTACTAGATGCCGGCAGCGCTCTTGCGTTGCCTTGGGCCAGAATTGGATGAACGGAGCTGAGGGCACACACCGGGCAAAACCACCGAAACCCAGACTGAGCTCGGACTGAACCTGAAACCAACCGAAACATCCCAAAAATGCTTCAAAGCACGTGAGATGGGTGTCCCATAAGTTCGTTTTCACCTAAATGTTACGTTTATAGGCTCTCTTGCTTAAAGGCACGCTGGAATTGGTTCGTAACTGAGCTTACGTGGTTGCCATGGCTGGTAGCAATATGCTCCACAGTAACTAATTTCTGTAGACAAAATAGCTTTTGCTAGAGAGCCCGCTTCCTACAGAGACGGCTAACGCCGCAACATAGAGGTCTCCGATACGGGTACGTCTTGGTATTTAGTCAGCACGTGACCATTCTCGACGATTAATGGCCCTTTCACACGTAGCAACTTTTCCGGTCGCCGGCGACGGCAACTGTCGCCGGCGATCGCCAGCGACCGGGGTCAGTCGCCGGCGATCGCCAGCGACCGGGGTCAGTCGCCGGCAACTCCGCAGTTGTCGATATCAGCTGACCAGTCGCCGGGGTGTGACGTAGCAGTCGTGTCAGCCAATCATTGAAGAGTTGTCGGCGTTGCCGAGAAAGTTCAATTTTTCCAACATTTTGAAGTCGCCGGCGACTGTTCTAGCCAGCCGCCGCTCAACTGTCACGTGACCCGCTTGACCTTGAGTTGGCACCAGATATTGCGCTGCTGATACATGCAGCGGCGCAGCTTATTTTACTGCATTATTCAATGTACTAAATATTTGGACATGTTTTGCAGGATGGTAACTACCGTCTAGGTAATATTGGAATAGCATTTATTAGATCTATTATTGAAACAATACATAATATCAATGAAAATACAATCAAACTGCGATTCTTCTACATTGAAATTCAATGCACTCAAGCATAAAACTGAAAAGTGATGTGTACTTGCAGTTCCTCCATTTTTCCTAACGCATCAGCCAAGACTACGAGTGCTGCAGATTTTGCTCACCTGTCTTGTTTATTCAACTACAACCCTGTTCTCAATAAATGAATAACTTCGCTGTAACGACATTAGCATTGAAGGAATGGTTGGTGGTAAGCATGGGACAATCACAGTGATTTGTGGTCACACATTTGGACCGTGCTTTGTATGTGAAAAACAGAAAAAAGGCATTCTAGAAATGTAGCAGAAATTTAAATGCCAGAAACGGACCTGAGGAACGGCGAAGCCTACCGCCCACATAAAACACAGGCTTTCATTATGTCAAAAACAGATGCTGTATTATCTAAAGCGCTGGATTGGGGAACACAAGTGTACCCCCCCCCCCTATAACAAAATGCATTTTTCCACACAGTGGAATCACTAAACATGGCGAGGTGACAGTATATGACACCATACGCGCAACCACATAAAAATGCAGCACGCGCGGACACGGGGCAGGGACGGTGGCACAATATGCCGATACCCAATAAGACACAAGCCTAGGTCAAAGGTGACAATACTGTGACAGAAATTTTAAAATCAGCCTGGACACAGCTCACTCTTCATGACCGTTTTTATCGAAAATAGACCAACAAAACACCAAGGCTCCTTCGTCCAAAACTCAAAACTCGACATGCCGCTCCAAAGGCCTTGCAAAACAGCGCACACCAACAACGCATAATAGCCAGCAACGCACACGACAGGATTTTCGAGGCCCGAGTCGTCAGCCGCCGCCGCCGCCGCCGCCACCTCCCGGCAGCTGATTGCTGAGTGCCTTGCTCATTGCCCCACCGGCGCCGATCGTGGCGACCTCTTTACTCTGGCAGAATCGACCCTACCGAGCGGCGACAGCATTCAGAAGCAAAATGACAAATGAATTCACTGCACTTATGTCAGAAAATCGAATGCACATGCCCATGGTCACACGCGGTGCCGTCCACGGGGCCGGCAGAAGCTGCACACTGTCACCGAACACCACCTGCACCTTGGACGCAGTATGTGAGGGCTTGGCGGACGCGCGCCGCCTCGCGTGCGGTATTGGCATCAAGGCCCGGACACGAGGGAGCACACTCGGCGCAATCAGAGCACACCGTCCGGGGCCGTCAGTGTCGATCTCCTGACCTCACAGAAAGTTGTGCAGCACACAGGTGAACGCCGTCAGTGTGGTGACTGGTGCGCAGCACACCGTCCCACGGAAGATCGTCTGTGGGCCTTGGTGCAGATGCTGTCTCTAGGCAGAGTCAACAGTGCAGTGGCAGAAGTTGAACATTCAGCTGCTAGACTCCTTTTCGGGTTAGCAATGCCGTCGAGTTGGCCATCAGGTGGTGTTGCAGAATCATCAGGTACTCTTGATCAGGTACATCAGGTACAGAACCTCTTGACTCATCAGGTAACGCTGTGACTTGTCTGCCAGGCACAGAGGGCGGACATGTCAGAACATACTTCAAAAACATTTTTAAAAATCATTTTTTAACCAAAAGCTCTGCAAATTAGGAAGCCTGGAATAGGCTATTGCTTAGCATCATAAAAACTACCCAAATACCCAAATCAGGTTAGGCTTGGTTTACCCAAATACCCAAATCAGGTTAGGTTTGGTTTTTACACTTCAGGCTAAAATGAGAACTATCTTAAAATCATTATCCTTGATGTAGCATTGTTGACGCTTTTTGTCTTGCACAATTGGCAATCAGTATTCAGTGACACAGAATTGGAAGTTGTGGTTCAGAAACCTAGCATTATTTCACACCTAGCATTTTAAGGCAGTGCTCATTCTTTTTGAAAGCAAGTGTATTTTTTAATATAATTTTCTAGGTAATTCATTTCCTACTGAATATGGTTATGAGACCATTGTTACTAATTTTGGTATTGTTAAGGCAGCTGTAGCATGAGTGGGCATATGCTGTGAGACTGGAGTGGTTAAAGTCACTAGAGGCTTGAGGTTTTTTTAGACATTATGCAGCAGCCTGGGGAGATATGCAGAGGCAAGTCTAGGCACCACCAGAAGGGGGACAAGCAGTCAGCACAACACACAGCGGGCACAAGGGGAGGAGATTGTAAAAACTATTGCCTGGATCCACCTCTGTGGACATCCTCAGGCATGCCTCTGTGGACATCTCCAGGCTGCTGCATGTAAAAAAAAAGTATCAAGCCTCTAGTGACTTTTTCCACACTGCAGCAAATGCCCGCTTATTCTTGGTCTGCTCTACCTTCCTCCAATTATGAGTTTTGTGTGAAAATGACATTTTTACATTGGTGGAGCTTGTGTGCGCATGGTACACATAAGCCATGCCGGCAGCATTGCTGCAATGAATAGGAAACAGCTCCAGGGCCAAAATACATACCACCTAATACCTTGCCAAAATACATGACATACCTACCACCTACCGTGCATACTGCAATTATTTATGTACTAATAAGCCATGGATTATCATTTGCCATGTGAGCATGCACACACATGCGAACCCAATGCGGATTAAGTTTGGCCTGGGTTGTTTATCCATGATACCAAGGAAAACTCCAGCAGAAACAATAACAAAATTGCAAAGCTACCTGTTTGATTTTGATCATGCTAATTAATGAGCAGCAATATAATATTTTGTTGCTATCAAATATTTCCTTGTGTCGCACGAATAGGTAGGCAAATAGCTGACTGATGGGTAGGCACTTTGTCCTCAAGGGCACTGATACTGAATGTAAACAATGTTCTTGTGACACAACAAGCAAGTTTTCATTACCTTATGAAACTAGTGTCAATTTCAATGTCATTAAAATATTCAATTTTGATGAAAAAATACATATTTATCACAAATAAAAATCATGGGTGATCATGGGCAAGTGCGCCACAAATGACATAAACCCTCCAATATTGTCGAATCAAGCTTAAAGGGACCCTCCCACCTTCAAAAAAGTTAATGAATTGGCATGAAAGTGATGTCGCTCGGTTCAGAAAGAGCAAAAACGAATATCTACCAAATTTCATCGAAAAATATTCACCGGTTTTCAAGATATTAGACTTTTACTTTTGTTTACTTTTTGGGATCTCCGCTGTTCCTAGCGACTTTATTTGAAAGTGCGGCATTTGTTGCGCGCAAAGCAGCATATACCACCGCGTGCTACAAAACGTTTTAGTCAAAACATTTAACGGACGTTCGAAAGCCTGATGACGTCATCAGATTCCCGTAATGGTTAAAGGAAATAGTTCACTTTCACGAAATTATTTTTTTTGCAACGATTTATGATTTTTTATGTTCAAAATAATCAGCAAAGAAAATAAAACCTTTTTATAACAAAAGATTTTTTTCTATATTTTGATATAGGAAGAACTTTTCAGTTTCTGTAAGGCACACGCGATCCAGTATGAAAAGAGCATGGGTCCCGAAAATTCTTCAGAAACAGATAAATTATCGCAGCCACCGGCACTTGGGCGATCTGCTCGATCTGATAATGTTCCCCTGAATGTCCTAATTGATCAGTACGAGAATTTCTCTAGAGTTCTCGTAGATAATTTCTCTAGTTTCTGAAGAATTTTCGGGACCCATGCTCTTTTCATACTGGATGGAAATATATGCAAGGCACACATCCTCAACGCAAGACACCTTTTTCGGGACGAGAAATAGAATATCTTTGCCTAGGGTGATCGTTGGGCTGTAAAAGCTCCTGATTTATGCTCGTCTCAGCCTAAGCTACGGAACTGCTATTCCAGTTCAAAACCCATGTTAAAAAGTGAACTATTTCCTTTAAGAGATAGGGACCACGCTGGTCCCACCCTGCAAGTAAAGGGAAGAAATTTCTTGAACACCATAAAGCTGCGGGGGTTGCGACCAGGATAGATGGTGGTTTCTGAGCCTGGCCGCAAACTTGGCTATCTCAACTCAAAACTAATGTTAAGGTGGGAGGGTCCCTTTAAATTCAAGTCACAACAGCTTCACGACAGGCAAACTACAAGATAATAATCCCTATGCTACTGTGCAACAAATTTAAGGTAGCCACAGCAACCAATTTAGGGAAAAATGCATCACAAATCACCTAAACCACTCACCAAGGACAAAACTGTCATGGCGGCGTCCGCTGCTCGAGAAGAGTCGCCGGCGACTGGCCTGTGACGCGGATCTGACGTCACCAGTTGCTGGCGATTGCCCGGCCGTGGCCCGGCGATCGCCACCGACTTGCTTACGTCATACCTACGTCACACACGATCGTTGGCTGGCGGTCGCTGGCGGTCGCCGGCGACTGCTGCTGTCGCCGGCGACTGAAAAGTTGCTACGTGTGAAAGGGCCATAAGGGTGATTGAGGCCTACCAGTCTGTACCCAATGTCCATCGCTAACTGGACGCACAGTCAGCAAGTGACGCCGATGATTTGTCGGGAGTCAATCACGGTGAATGAACATGAGTAGGAGAATGAGTGGGAGTAGGAGATATGCGACAGACGGTCCGAGAACGAACGTTTTGCTGATGCACTTGATACGGGGACCGTCAAAAACAGGCGTACTATTATAACCGTTTATCATGAATGTTGCACTGGTCTTCTGTTCCCTTTTCAACATCAGCCAAATTTTGTGGGGGCAAAAACATAGTCTTGCCCCCACGGCCTCCTGCCAGTGGGGGCAGTCTGCCCCCACTGCCCCCACGGTGGCGCCGCCCTTGATTGCCATCCCTATTAGTTAAGTAAGTGATCAAGTTATTGAGAAACACTGATCCGCCTCTGGGAAAGTTGTGATCAGGGAAGCAAAACCACTAATTTTTGGGTTCCAGCAGCCTGGTTGGCAAGGAATTTAACTCTGGCTTTGCTCACCAGAATTAGAGTTATGAATGCATTGATGGCCACCAATTTTACTGTTAAAGGGATTATCAGGGTTTAAAAATTGAAAGGAATCGGCATAAGTTTCCAATCAATGAACTCCCCAGACTCTGCCGATTCTAAATATATGCATAAAATGTAAATCGGTACCAAAATTTGCGAGATATAGCCGTTTCAAAATTGACAAAATTGTACTTACTCACGCAAAACAAGTACTTGGGCGGCCAAGTTGGCCCATCACTAAAATGTAAACAAAGAGCAGCCTTGGGAAATTTCGCCAAGGCCGCCGCACCGCACTGTCGATTTCCACAAGACGGGCCTTGTCTGTTTTGTTTTTGTCTGTTGTTTTTAGGGCCTTGCAACAAGATTTCAGTGCTTGGCATTGAATTTGGATATGAACAAATTGAAGATTTGCTTTTCAATAAGACAGCAAGAGTTATCAACATTGCCAAAGTTATTATTTTGATTTGGGTGTGATTTGAATAGCTTGAGCTTGTTTGCTGATCATCAAATCTTGATTAATATCATTTAAATGTCAACAAGTTTCAAGGGTAAATTTGAGTGTTTTATTTCAATAAATTGAAATGTAAGTGCATCAGGCACAAGAGCTCAGTCGGTGACACACCAGGGAAATAAGCTAAAATTAGAGCGCTCTATTTATTGCTCCCGCTACTTCACCGTCTCCCATAGGGTCCTGTGTTGAGCTGGTGTCGAGGCTCTAAAAATGACGCCGATTTTTGCACCCTTCTCACGAAAACCGCTCGGACCGCCTGGAAACCAATTGTTCCGCTCTAAAAATTTCATGATCGACGGGAAAATGAATGAGGAAAAGATTGGTCCTGAAGAAGATTGCGTATGGTATCCGTGGCAAGCTTCTGAGTTGGATCAAGCATTTCTTGATTGATAGGTGGCAAAGAGTTACAGTAATGGGTGAGTCATCTGCCTGGAGTGAGGTTACAAGTGGAGTGCCTCAGGGGAGCGTTCTTGGTCCTCTTTTGTTTTTAGTATATATAAATGATCTTCCGGAGGCAGTGTGCTCTAAGGCCCAAATATTCGCTGATGATACCAAACTTTATCGCACTGTGGACAATGGTGCTGATGCACAAGAATTACAGGATGATATCAACAGTTTATATATTTGGTCTCAACAATGGCAACTACCATTCAATGATGATAAATGCAAAATGATGCACCTAGGAATAAGGAATGCAGGAAGAGAATACCAGATTAATGGTGCGTATATGAGGAATGTTGATTCTGAGAAAGATTTGGGGATAATGGTTGACAAGAAGATGAAATTTCATGTGCATGCATCACAAGCTGTGGCAAAGGGTTTCAGGATGCTGGGAATGATAAAGAGATCTTTTGTAAATTTAAACAAGAAGACCATTCCACTTTTATTCAATTCGATGGTGCGTCCCATTCTTGAGTATGGAAATTGTGTGTGGGGACCAATATATTGCATGGATCAAGACCAAATCGAGCGGGTACTACGTCGGGCTACTAAGCTGGATCCAGCATTGAGGGGCCTACCATATGAAGAACGTCTGCAACAGCTCAATATAGCATCAATGTTCCACAGAAGAAAGTGTGGAGACATGATTATGGTGTTTCAGATCATCACTGGAAGGATCCCAATACTAGAAGATTGTCTGTTTACAAGAGCAGAAGAAAGACCAGGTAATCGGGGTCACCATCTTAAGCTGAGGAAGCCATATACCACCACTGTGTGCAGACAGAATAGTTTTGCAGTCAGAGTAATAAATGAATGGAACAATCTACCAGAAGCAGTAGTAAGTGCTGATTCTGTGGCTGAGTTTAAGAAAAGGCTAGATCAGCATTGGAATAGCCGAAAGTTTAAAACAAGACATGATTGGAATGATTGAAAATGACTTTTCACTCTGCTGATTGAAATTGATATGAGACATGCCAGGAATGAGCAAAACGTATTGTATGTATGTTGTGCACTGTATGTACATTGTAACGTGTTTTGAGCAAAACGTACTGTATGTATGTTGTGCACTGTATGTACATTGTAACGTGTTTTGAGCGGGATCAATAGGCGACAACTAAGCCTTCTCTCCCGAAATACATATTGAGTATTGAGTATTGAGTATTGAAATAATTCTGAACTCCCTGTAGTACATATCGAAATATGGCTGCAAACTAGGAGCATGTCAAAATCGACAAAACAATACAAATAAACTTACCGGGATTTTTTTATTTTCCATGCATCTGTGTATGAAATCAGTCGGTTTTTCGGAAAGATCATCTTCTGTTTAATAAATAATTCCGCAATTGCAATCGAGAAAAAAAAAAACATTTCCGCTGTGACAGCAGTTTTGGCCTGGTTTTGGCATTGTGCCAGTAGTGTGGCGTGCGCGGTGCTGCGTGGTCGTCGGGACGGAGTTGTGAGTATTTTCGGTGTTTTAAATGGTTGATGGCCATTTGAACCAGCTTCATATTATTTCCTACAAATTTTTGCATCAAATTATTGCTATGAAAGACCATTGAAACCTGATTGAAACCCCTTATCTCTTTATGAAACACGATCATATTCATCGTCGACGAAAATGGCGCGGGACTCCATGTGCATTCCGATCGAAATAAATCGTAAATTAAATAATATTCGATGATAAGTATCATATTCTAGTGACACATTTTCATAAAATAACTCACCTGGTTGACTCACCTGGTTGGGTTCCTCGTCACTACTGTAGAGTCAGTCATGGGCGAGAATAGGCGAGTGTAGGAAAGGACATAGGAACCCCTTCGAAGAGACGCGCCAGACCGAGAAGTAGGTATGGCAGTGCGTCAAGCCAGTGGTATCGCCTGGGCAAGTGCGTCTTCCAGTGAATTGAGCAGAGTGAATATACAATACATGTGTCTGTTGTGGGTGTCCTTGTATCGGTGTGATCGGCAGAAGAATGAGAAGTAACAGACACAACATGGCATATAAACAACACTACTCTGTATACGCAAATAGCTCATCTTTTAAGTCATACTCCAACAGTCTTTTGAAAGTACATAAATCACTCGCGCGAACAGTTTCAATGGGAAGACGATTCCAGATACGTATACATCTGTACGTGAAGAAGCGCTGGCGGGTATCGGTGGATGTATGCGGTGTCAGGAGTTTCAATGGATGGCCACGGGATGTGGTATGGGGCTGGGGTGTAAACAGGATATCGGGTGGGATGCAGGAGTGTTTTGATAGGATTTTCCAGTACTGGATGAGGTCAGATCTGAGCAGCCTACCTTGGATGGAGAAGAGTTTTAGCTTAGTAAGCCTTTCTCCATATGAGAGAGTATCCAGTCCAGAAATTGCTTTCGTCCAGCGTCGTTGGACTCTCTCAAGGAGGCGAAGATCATCTGAATAGCCAGTGTTCCAAATCACCGAGCAGTAGTCCATAATAGGCCTAATGTGAGTTTTCCAGAGAAACAGCATGAACTCGGGAGAGCGACAAACTGTCGACTTCAGAAAGTTTTGGGCTAACCCTCCAGCTTTGCAAGCCACATCACGGATGTGGGCGTGAAATCTTAGCGAGATATCAACCTTGACGCCCAAATCCACGCAACTGTCAGATGTGGGAATAGGCTGGCCACCAAGGAGGTACTGGGGAGGTGGAGGGGGATCCCTGGCTCGTAGGGGGTAGAAGCGGAGCACAGTGCACTTTTTGCGGTTCATGTTGAGCCCCCAGGACCTGGCAGTGGAAAAAAGGGCATCAATATCAGCCTGGATCTGCGGGAGGGTAGCGTATGGTAACAACGGGCTGGACTGGTGACGGGAAAAGGAGGCGTAGATTTTAAGGTCGTCCGCGAATATTTTATATGACGATGAGAGGTTAGGGGCGATGGAGTTGATGAATATCAAGAACAAGACTGGACCAAGTACCGACCCCTGTGGAACACCGCTACGTACTGGGCGGGGGGAGCTCTGGGCTCCATTCACCAGCACACTCGTGGATCTATCGGTAAGGAAAGAACGGATCCAACTCAGGAGGGAGGCGCCCGTAGGATCCGGAGTGGCTCCACGGCAGTCATGACCGAAACCCAGGCATCTCAGTTTCTCCAGCAGAATCTCATGGGAGACCACGTCAAAGGCTTTGCTGAAGTCGAAGAGAACAACGTCAGATATTTTACCCTCGTCAGTTGCCCTCGACACATCATCGTATACCAGCAGCAGCTGATCTGCCGTGGAGCGTCCTGCTCGGAAGCCGAACTGGTTGGAAGTCAGGATTTCATTGTCATTTAGGTACTCCCACACATGGGCCGTGATGGCACGTTCTAGCATTTTACAGCATATGGAGGTGAGGCTGATGGGGCGGTAGTTCAGCGGATCATAACGGGAGCCTTTTTTAAAAATGGGAATCACCTGAGAACTCTTCCAAAGAGATGGTACTTCTCCTTCCTCTAGGGTCTTTCGGTATATGAGGTGGAGGGGGGTGGCAACAGCATCCGCACATTCCTTGAGCAGGTGAGGATGTAGGCCATCAGGACCCATGGAAGAGTTTGGGTCAAGCCCCTTAAGCAGGGAGAGAGTCTGGTCTCTGGTAACAACAAGAGGGGGGAGGTGGCCAGGGAATGTTTGGTGTGGATGAGGGTTTGTGGGAGTAAGTCGTGTGTATACAGATGCGAAGGCATCCGCAAAGCACTCGCTCATCTCTGTGGCATCATCGGTCAGGGCGCCCGAGGAAAGCCTCAGGGGGCCTGCAGAGGAGCGACCCACTTTCTTATGTCTAATGTAGGCATAAACTAATAATAATAAGGCATAAACTTTGCAAGGAAGTCAACATTGGATAATTGGATTCTTATTTTGCTCACATATCCTTGTAGTAGTCAAATGGCTCAATTATTAGATAGATGTAAGTATATGTTTTGGCTTGATGTTTGCTGTGAAACCACCCAGCCACTTGCTGGTTGAGTGGTTTTCTGATAATTACCTGATAATTATTTCTCCTTTTCCTTAAAAGAAACTAAAATTCCTTTCAAAATAATCCATTTTAAGGAAAGGCGGCTTGCTCATTGGCATTTCATGTTCTTGTTTTGTTATTGCTGGCAGTATTTTGATACAATAATGCAATATGAATTTTTTGCAATAATAAAACCTAAGACAAACTTAGTTAATGTGTCAATCAAACACCCAACAGAAAGATTGTGAGTCCTTGTGACGTGAAGTAGAATATTCTATGAATGTGTTATATAGAATATGCCAAATATTAAATTAATTATTATTTGATACTGATAGCTGAGCAGGTGAATTATGCCACAATGTAATTTCATTTTCTGGTTTTGAAATAGCCGGCAGTATTTTACTTCAACAAATGTAATACACTAATACCTATGCATGGAATACATGTTGTTATGTTACCTATGTTAAAAGTTTAATAACAGCCAACAGAAGGAGCTGTTTCAGCAGATAATGTTTGTACCTTATGCATTACCTTTCTTTTCTGCAGGACCATGCTTCCGCTGGGTGGTCGACATTTGCCTCCTGAAGAAGTTGAGCAACATGAAGACCACCAGATGAGGTGTCTGCAGTTCATGTGGAATTCTGCAGACTACAAGTGTTATGCCAACCACAACCAAAGTGCTGTGATCATGGAGGCATGAACCTCATGACAACACTTCAGATTTGCAGTTGAACCAAAGTGTGATTCAAACCACCTGTGGCATCTCACTCAATGTGTGAACAGTGTGATTATTGTGCAGTGTTCAGCTGCAACTAAGACATTTATTAGTGACTTGTTTTGCAATTAGCCACCAAAAGCATTTTTGGGCTGGCTGCTGTAATTTGTTGTGCACTGCGCAATAGTGGTAGTGTTTTGTCACTTGTCAAGTTGTCAGTTGTGCATGTTGCATGTTTCTCTTCCCTCGGCCCTCATTATCAGTTAAGTGGTGAATTGGCATCACTCAGTCTCCCCAGATCTCCATTGACTGTCTGTCAACCACCTAACTTGAGATGGTATTTGCTAATAGTGTCAGAAAAGAAGTGATTGTAGACATTTTTAGGAATATGAGCTCCGTTTCATGCGTGTTCCAGTGGTCATTTTGTCACATGTCCCATAGTGTAATAAATGGAAACTGTTGTTCCCTTTTGAAGGTACTCGCGGATGCAGAAAGCGTTGGGCCTAATTATTAAACACGCCCTCCTATCAGCGACGCACGAAATCGACAAATATCATCCTTTTTACAACAGGAGGAAACGAAAACTTGTGAACATAGCTGTACCTACAACAGTGCATAAGGAATTGAAATTCTGGGAGTTTTTGAAATTCGGAGAAACTCAAGTTGTCGACAGGTATGCCCCCTTGTACGTCAAAGACCGCCTAAAAAACAAACGTCTACAAATGAAGGCAGTATTCGTATGTTCGTTGTAATTGCAGCAGCCTAGCAACATGTATTGCGGTCCGATGGCGAATTACACTCGTGCTCAAAAACTATGCCGGCAACTGCCAATGCATTTAGGTCGTAGGTGAGGAGAGGAAGGGTTATGTCATATGTCAACATCATAGAAATGGCTTCATCTGAGCTGTGCCTATTGTACATAATTCAACCAATCTATGCATTTCGTTTCTTGCAATCTACTCATGCTTTCACTCCAGCTTCAGAGTAATCATCCCATATTGTACGTCTTAAGATATTGATTTCTATGGCGGTTTGCAATTACTAGCCACGTCTCACCTCAGTTTGGTGGCCCCGCATCGGCCCACTCGGCCGCTCTAAAATTGACTTACGGAGGAGGATGGTGGCTTTTATTTTAGCTTCTCCGCCGACTGCGGGGAGCGCCGTCGCCGAGGTAGGAGCAATAATTAGCTTATGTTTGGGACTAATTTCCACGCTTAATTAACATTTTAATGTTATTTTAATTAATTCGTGTTAATCTTTGACGCATTCTCTTTCTATTGATACCATCCACCGGTCTGAGAATTACTGCCTTGCTGCGTAAGGGCCGATAAAAGATCACGCTTTTAGGGGTATCTCTTCAACATGGGGCAGGAGCAATAAATAGAGCACTCTAATTTTAGCTTATTTCCCTGGTATGTCACCAACTGAGCTAAGTTTCAATCTGATTATTTTGTCAAGAGTGGTCAATCTAATGTAACGTCTTGCGAGAAAGCTTACCTAAGTGACTGAAGAAAGCGCTACCTACAGTTTTTCAAGATCTATGTTGATCTGTTTTTTCGAACAACAGGTTGTACAACATGATGTTGTGACATGACCTCTGTGTCCTGTACGTCTCCCCTGCTGCTGCAGCAGAGCCCCGGCTTCAACTATAGTTTGTTATGGGTGGGCTCTCCGTGAACGTCTTGGTGCGTTTCTACATATTGCTGCTGTGAAAGGACGGTACATGAAAAAATATGTAACTTGTATGTTTTTTATTGCCCTGGTACCTACTTAATGTATATTTTTGTTGTTTATGAGTGATAAATGAATATATTTTGAGGAAAATTGAGGCATTTCAGTTTTAGTTTGTGGAACAGAACAGAAGAAGCTGCTGAGTGCGGATCATGCTTCAATTGAGAGAATCATCCTCAGTTATCTACATATAGGCATGCTTTGTAAGCTCCTTGCATTTTGCCAGCTTCTACTTGCTAGTCAAAGTTGTAAGAAGGGTTAGGGAGAACAATTGGTACACATGCCACCATGTGCAATCACCAAACGAATAAACGTGAGGGCCAAGTCCTTCACACAGCATGGATGCTTATAGGTACTGCACTAATGTATAATGTTCATTATGTTCATATTAGCAACTCACCCAGGCAGCCTGCCTTGTGGTATTTCTGAGTTTAAGATTTTGTAAGACTCACACTAATCATAAGGTAAATTATATTGATATGTATGGATGAACAATGTGCAAAGGGGTCGCACGTGCCTGCTCAGTGCTCAGCCATGGATGCACGTGCCTTCTCAACAATGGGCGTGCTTGCAGACATCTCCATGGACGAACAATGTGCAAAGGGGGGGGGGGGCGTGCCTCCGCGGCCGCCTGTTGGCTCAGCCGCTGCTGCTGCTTGGCGCCGCTGCTGAGCGCTGCCGGAGACGCCGCTCGCTGCCGGAGCTGCCGGAACAGTCACCGGAGCTGCCGCCCGCTGCCGGAGCTGCGGGAGCCGGGCCCGCCGCTCATCTGTCAGGACCGCCGACGGCAGCACGCCCGTCTGTCAGGGTCTGTCAGTGCCGGCAGTGGACGCGCGCGGGTGCGGGCCGGGTACGGACGCGCGCGGGTGCGCGCCGGCTATGGACGCGCGCGCGCTTGCGTGCCGACGATGGGCGCGCGCGCGTGTATGCCGACCATGGCTGCCGCCCGCTGCCGGAGCTGCGGGAGCCGGGCCCGCCGCTCATCTGTCAGGACCGCCGACGGCAGCACGCCCGTCTGTCAGGGTCTGTCAGTGCCGGCAGTGGACGCGCGCGGGTGCGGGCCGGGTACGGACGCGCGCGGGTGCGCGCCGGTACGTGCCGGGTACGAACTCGCTTGGGTGCGCCCCGGCTGTGGACGCGCGCGGGTGCGCGCCGGGTACGGACGCGGCGTGCTCGCCGGGTAAGGACGCGGCGCGCGCTTGCGTGCCGACGATGGGCGCGCGCGCGTGCATGCCGGCCATGGCCGCGCGCGTGCATGCCGGCCATGGCCGCGCGCGTGCATGCCGGCCATGGCCGCGCGCGTGCGCCCCAGCCATGGACGCGCGCTAATGCGCGCCGGCGATGGGCACGCACGTGCCTGCTCGGCAATGGATGAGCGACGAGCGTGCCTTCTCGGAAATGAGTATACATGCAGACATTTCATGGATGAACGCTTTCAATATGTTCAATGTGTTGAGACGGATCTGAGTAAACTGGAGAGAAACTAGGATAGTTTTAGTCCTGCTCAACTAGTTCTGCCAATAAGTACAAACACCACCTTGCTGCCAACTGCTTACCAAATACCGCATCTGTTGTACCCTTGCATGATGCATATGTACATACAGAAAAAAATACAATCTGTTGAAATCTGAAAACATACACTGCTGAGCACTGTGGATGAATCTGTATGAACCCTGTGGCTCAGCGAAACCTTCTGGCCCAGGTTATAATTGACAGTGAATTAGGAATCAATCCTTGCGAAGAGAAAATAGATCATCGTGCTTTAGATGAGCATAATGAAGAAGCGTTCCTTAAGTTGAGTTAGTGACTTTCCATCATCCATGCCAGATGGCCAAAACACACCATTTCAATACTGTCCCAAAAATATATTTCAAAACACTTATTGCATGGCTATACACACCAGCTTACTCAGTCACCACACTCAAACCAAGGCCATATAAGGGTAGTAGTATAGCAGGCGTCACACTTGTTTTTTTGCAACCATGAACGAACGAAGAGAGGCGCTGTAGGTTAGGTTTGGTTTGGTAAGGTTTGGTGAGAAAGCATCTCTGGGTATAGCGCATCTCCTTGGTTGCAAAAAGAAGTGTGACGCCTGCTTTATGACTACCCATATAAGTAGACTCAAACACAGTCTACTAATACAAACGTCACTGGTCTCAAGTCTGCGCTCAATGCACCAGATGTACACTACTCACAATACGTCAGGACTCAACGTCAGCCACCAATTTTCTACATCAAAATTCACATCAGGTTTTCAAAGTAACAATGTATGTGCCACTTCTGTACTTTGTGCTACAAACACAGAATAAATGATATCAGTCAGCAATGCATTGCTCATTGTCAGCCAAAGTCTGCAAAGTCAGTCCGCAGGCTTTGCAAGTAAGTGCAAAGTCTGCGGAGATCAGTTGCTTTACACACCACCAATATCATGCTGCAATGTGCTCAAAACATGCCTATACACCAACAACAAAGCACAACCATGAAGCACCACTGATAACACTTAACCTCAAAGCACACAACATGATAATTTATTTATTTTGAGTACCTACAGAAACAGAATGTCTCAAGGCCACTCGTGCTCACTCCGAAATCTGCCAGTCGCTCAGCCTTGAACATTGACATTATTTCATCTGAAATCTATTTTCTTCACTTGATCAAAGTTGATCTGCGTCATACATCTTACAACGGATGTCTCGAATTATTGGTAACGTTCAGCACTTAGCATTAAAAATGATAGGTAACTTTGATTCAACACTAGTTCCATCCAAGCTTCTTCATTGCTTGAGGTATATCACTTTCAAGTTTAATTACTTGAACTAAGACATTCTTGAATTACACTCGGGATGAGCTTAGTTTGAACGCACACAAACAACACAATTTTTTAATTTGAATTATTTTGATAACCCACAGGATATCTAGAATGAGAAGCTGAGAAGAATGAGAAGAAGGTTGTGTTCGTTGTGTTACGGACCTATGCTATATTTCCCTATTTTGTCTTGGGAAAATATAATGGAGCATGCTGTAATCCATTATATTTTCCCTAGATCCATTATATTTTCCCTAGATCCATTATATTTTCCCTAGAAATATTTAGAAAAGTCTCCGCTAGTGTAAACCCTATGGGCGTTTAGAGATGGACCACCAAGTACTCGCAAGTTTACGCGGCTGGCAGCCGCGAAAACTTTGGAGGCCCACCATTGGAAAATTAGGCAATTTTGAGACGAATGACTTTGGATTGGGGCTTCAGTCACCTTCTTCTACACGTTTCACTGAGTAAGTCCGAAATTTTGGAAAAAACCCTGATAATACCTTTAATGGGATAAGGTTAGGGATTTAGAAATAATTCCTATGTCTTACTTCCTTGAGTCTTCCATAACCTCTTATCTCCATGGCAACTGGGTTCAGTCAGCCGGACTGTTTAGAGTGGACGATCATGGATCAAATGACTTCTGGTTCAGGCCTTCTGATTTGACAGCATACGGTTTGGGGTGTGTCTAGCGCAGCACTGCAATCCAATCTGAGTGCATGTTGTTAATAAGCTTGCTGAGGTGGCTAATGTTTAGACTTCTGTAAATAAATGCTGCGGTGAGTTGCACGGAGAACCGTTCACGTTCACGCTCTCCCATGGTGCAAAATACTGAGCGCAGCCAATATGCCCCCTTGAATTGAAATGGCTCACTTCCATTTCATTTTATTTTAGGGCTAGTTAAAGGGACCCTCCCACCTTAACATTAGTTTTGAGTTGAGATAGCCAAATTGGTGGCCATGGCCTGAAAATACCGGTTTGGGCACTCACAACATCGAAAAATGCTTTAATTCGGAGATATGGAATTTAAAACTTGCAGTTTTCGGATTCTAAGGGGCTAATGCATTGGTATGCCCCCTTAGAATTTGTGACGTCAGCGGAGGTCTAACGATTTTTAAATCTTTTACTAAAACGTTTGGTAGCACGCGGTGGTATATGCTGCTTTGCGCGCAACAAATGCCGCACTTTCAAATAAAGTCGCTAGGAACAGCGGAGATCCCAGAAAGTAAACAATAGTAAAAGTCTAATATCTTGAAAACCGGTGAATATTTTTCGATGAAATTTGATAGATATACGTTTTCGCTCTTCCTGAACCGAGCGACATCACTTTCATGCCAATTCATTAACTTTTTTGAAGGTGGGAGGGTCCCTTTAAACTAGTTATGAAGTGAACAGTTCGGTCGTCATGTCAATCTTTGTAATCGTCTATGCTTCCGGCCCTTTCGCTAAATGGGGAGAAGTGCGCGAGTCGGGCTGCTTATAATCCGGGAGCCCACAGCGGCCCGTGGGTTACAGTCGGGGACTGAGGCCCATAAACAATAATAAATAGAGGCTATCTGACATCTGTGTCACCGATTCAATGAGATTTATTGTATCTTGGCTGTGGCCAGCGGCCAGCAGTTTACGTCATTAGAGCAGAGGAAGGTCTCCGAAATACATTTGGAAAAAAACAGGGAACGGATGAAATGTTTCCTACCCTAACGGGGTTTTCAGTTCCTCACTCATCATCTCAATCCAACCCAATCCAATTCAGGGAATCAGCGCCAGATACTGTTTCTGCTTCCTCTCACTGAGACACACTGATACGGCCTTCTTGCAATAGTGTCGGCGGGGCTGGAGTCTCGTCGGTGGTCTCCGCTGTCGGTCGGTGCGGTCTGAACCCCCCCCCCCTCCCTCCTCCCACTATTACTACCGTCTATCACCATCCCGGCGTCGTGTCATCACAGACGCCGGTGCGGCTCTCTGGTCCCGCTCGTAAGCCACGTGGTCGGGGAACTCTGATCGGCGTCTATGAACTAGGCTGTAATTTGTTTATGGAATGTAGCTTTTTGCCATTGTTCATCGCAAGAGATGTAACTATTTTCCAATAAGGTATTTCATTGTTCCTACATTCGGCGCCTATTCTTTGTGGAAGTCGTAATGAGACGCCTTGGATTTTCTGTCGGCAGTTGCTAACGTCCAATAAGTGGTTGTTGCTCGTCAGGACCCCGTCGATCCCAGCGTTAGCGCCCGATGCCCTGTACAAGTGTACATTTATGTAACTCTGTGTATTTGTACTGTAAATGCTACGGTCTACAGTCAACCGACTCTAACCCCACGCCTGTCCGGACAGATCTCAAATACACGGAGCAGCACGAATGGGTGCGCTTGGACGGAGCCGTGGGCACGGTCGGCATCACGGCTAAAGCGGCGGTAAGTGACGCCCCCCCCCCCACCCCCCCCCCCCCCCCCCCCCCCCCCCCCCCCCCCCGACACTTCAAATCGTAACTGGGGCTGCTCCCTGCCAGTGTGGAGCCAGTGTTAGTCTAGAGCAGCCGTACGGTGTCATAAGATTTGTTTATTTATTGTTCCCACTACTCACTACATTCGCCTCATCCCGTACTTCCCCTAGCGTTCGATCTGTTGTCTGTCTTGGCGCCTGCATCGCTGGATGGATGCCCATCTTGCAGCAGTCCCGTGTCCTAGTCCCTGTCGTCTTCGACCGACCCAGAGTGTCCCACGTCACGGCCGAGCGGCAGGCACACAGGCGGTCGGCTCACCTAGGACAACTGTCAGCGATCGACCCGGTCGTGCATTAATGATGGTAGCGATCAGGTGATTGCTCCCGGGAGGGATGGATTGGTGTGCAGGGCCTGTGCTGTTGTTAGGTCGGTATAGAGGCCTGGCAACTGGGCGTTTTGCCAGGCGGGAGGGGCAAGAATGATAGCGAAATGCCATGAACTACTGTATTACCGATATGAGCTGCCGAAATAGAGTAGTCTATCATGAAACAGCATATGGTAGGAAGAAGAATGGCTTGGTCGTTATCAAATGCCGTTTGATTAAACGGGTCTGACCATTCACGGGCCAATCCGTTCAAGACTTTGAAACAAAACGGCATGTTGAGATATCAGAAGGCACTTTCGAAATCGATCCACATTCCGAGCAATAGCCATTCAACATCGAGCTGAATTAATGCACCCTTCGCTGTCCTTAGTCCATCTAGTCGGTACGCATTAGGCCGTCCTCATTCGCTCCGTCCGCCTGTCCGTCTGGCCATCGGCGTCTCCGCCCGACACTCTGGCGCGTTTGCTTACAGTACATGTGGCCGTTGTTGGCTGTTAGAGGCGGCTGGGTGCCTGGCCAGCGTCACCCAGCCCTCGCCCGTCGGCCGGCCGGTCTGTACGACTATCTTTGTGTGTTTAAGTGTGCGTCTAGCCCGCACCACGCCCGCTCATTGGCGCGTTGGAGTGGTGTCGGATGAGACACGCCTCCAACTCCAACCCCTCCCTGACCCTCGCCGGCCCGATATTTGGGTAAATAACGGTCTTTGGGACCGGGTTGTAGGGTATGAAATGATAGTGTCCGGATAAACACTAAACAGTGATCGTTTACATGCGCTCTTCTCAATGGATGTTGAGTCAGGTTATGTTTTGCATAAAATAAAATTTGTGTATTGGATATCTTGTTTCGCAACTCGAGATACGCGTTCGTTTGGCCATGGTATGCATATATAGTCGCATTGTTGCTACGAGGCATTCTATGTTTGTGATTTTATATGGGTGTGTGTGAAATACGGAGGCTTTCATCTCCCCGATCTAAAAAAGGCTAGTGTGGCGGTGTAATGTGTCCTCGACTCCTCACTAACTGTTGATTATACCCGATCCCCTGTCAGCAGGAGTCTACGGGCATATGTACCCGTACATACATGTAGACTAGTATGCATGGACTTGTCACTGTCGTGTGTGTGACTGAGGATGCCTTGCTGACCGTGCCCTTTCCCCCAGCGACAGGAGTCAAGGGGAGATCTGTACGCGTGGCTGGTCTGTCCTGTGACAGTATAAAGACTGTCTCCCTGGCCGTGCCGTATCCCCCATCGACAGTAATCCATGGGAGATCTGGTGTATGTGTGACTGGTCTGTCCTGTGACAGCCTGAGGGCTGCCTCCCTGACCGTGCCGTATCCCCATATCGACAGGAGTCCATGGGAGATCTGGTGTATGTGGAGATTGCCGAGCCCGGGCTAGAGGTGGATCAAGGAGGTGAGCGCTATAGTTATATCCGAGAAAGGAAAGAGCATGAGTTAACTTGATGGACTTAATAATGTCTGGACTCGGGAGTGAGTGTTCTGCGTCGCGTATAAAGAAGGAAAACTGCACCGATCCCTCAGTCCTCACTCCTCACAGTGCGCCACTGCTCACTTTCCATGCCTAACATTAAAGCTGTTTGAACGGTAGCGGTGGGGATGCATTTGGGAAGCCCCTAGAACACCGAGCTTCTATCTTGGCGTCTCCCCATTGCTAATGCATCCACCCTCTGTTTATTTTTATTGAACGATAGTTTATCCAAACTTAACCGCCGCGCTTTGTTTAGTTAGTGTTGCCACCATGGGTCGTGTAAGCCCCACCATGAGTAAGATGGCCTTTCTGACCCCCCTCTCTCTCTCTCTCTCTCTCTCTCTCTCTCTCTCTCTCTCTCTCTCTCTCTCTCTCCTCTCCTCTCCCTCTCTCCCCAGATGAGTGTGGATCAGTGGAGAGCGTCAAGGCAGTGAGCGACATCTACGCCCCCGTCTCTGGCAAAATCACTGATCGCAATACGGACCTCTCTGACACACCAGAGCTCGTCAACCAGGACCCGTACGGCGAACAAGGTCAGTTCGCAGATTACGTCATCAGTGTGACGTCATGTGTGCTGCCCGTGCCCACAGTGTAGGTCGTGCCACGTTTGTTTAGAGAAGTGACTGACATGAGCGACCTACTTTTGCTTGTGACGGCTGGAGATTTGATGTTTCGTTAACATGGAATCTACATACCGATCGGTTTCAGCCATGTGAAAACATTATGAGGCTTCTACTCATTCCCATTGAAAATGAAATAAGTTTCATTTTAAGTAATCCCAGTAGGTGAATTGATTGTATAGTCCACAACTAAGACCCGAACTAAAACAGCAGCTTTTCAGTGCAACGTCTGGATAAAAAGATGGGTTTTGAGTTTAATTCAGAAGGTTTCCTTTTTGACCTTTCATTATAGAACTTTTGAAGTCGGGAACTACGACATAGGTATATTTTCACCCTCTGTAATTTTAGCACAAGTCTGATAAAACTTGCCGATCCGATGCCGTAAAAAACTTGCCGAAAAGCATGCGGATGTGTCATGCAGATTGTCGATCCCACCATAAAATCTCTGACTATTCCGGTGAATACGAGTGAGCACGGGCATCTATTGAGTTTCCTCTAGTAATAAAGGTGTATTGAAGGAGTGGCCCGACCCGGCGGTCGGAACTGTTTACAACGCTTATGTGGAACTCGCTTCTCCGCATGTAACTGTTTAAGCAAACTATTTTCTATGTCGGGCGACTCCATCCCTTTTACCCCGAAACTGACTATGCTCGATGCATCTGAGTGACTTCGATGATGCGTGCCAGTTGTTCTGTCAAGGGTATTCAATGTCCAAATTTTCCCATGAATGCTGCAATGCATAATCAAATGAAATTCAGGCATTTGAATGTCACGTGAATTTGACATTTCAAAAAATCTTAAAATCAAATGTCAATGAACTCTCCGGGAACGCGCAGCTCCTTGTTTTCCCATTGGTTTTCCCGTCGTCTGAAATTCATGGACCTTTTCACTGATGATTCAATAGATTTCACCTGATATATTTCAAATTAGGAACCGGATAGATTGATAAACATTTAAGCAGCTATTGGGGTCTAGCATTGCGCTGCTCACATGCAAGATCCATTTCGCATCCCAGGATGTTGTTAGATTATATTTTGTCGGAGATCTGCGGGCATGTCTCTCTACAGTCCCATTCTGCTGTTTTTGTTGCATACCAATGGAAATGAGCAAGGTCGAATCAATTAGTTAATTGTGGTTTAGCGCTGAACGTTTCGTGACCATGCAATTATGCGGAAGGGGTTACTTTTTTGTTGGGTAAGGCTCTTTCGGTCTGACAAGGCCATTTCAGATCCGGAAGGATGATAGGAATTAGGGGGAGACATTGGTCTGAGCAGGCACCCTAGTGAGTCACCGGGGCTGAGCCGGTCCTAAAGGACAGGCCGACCAGCCCCCCAAGTACTCGCTGCACCCGGTTACGGGTGTGCTCCCTTGGGAGCAGCAGAGCCGCTCCAAGGGAGCAGTCCGCATGAGATTAAGTTGCCCGTCCAGCCCGGACCGAGGGTTGCGGCGTGGAGGAGAATGATTTGAAAGTCCTGAGGATGGAAACGACGGACGGGTGAAAAGGGTTTGACGTCCCCTCACCACCTCGTGTGGATTGATAGAGCATGACATGACATTGAGCGTTTTCTCGTCCGATTGTATGTGACTTGAATCTCTTTTTTAGGAACAATTGGAGATGTAAAAGGTATTGAAAATTAGTGCGCGGAGTTGAGCTCATGCTAATGTTTAAAGTATGTTTATTATTTAAAGTATAAAGGACGTGTTATAAATCCTTCTGTCTCACGAACAACCGGTCTGTCTCCCGCGCCACCTGCCGAGTAGTTTTGCTAACTACAGGCTTTCATAGTTGGCGCCGTAGGCTGACTGGTGGCAAAGAACGGTTGTAGAATCCAGATCAAAGGACTGACTCGTCGCTGGGCAGTACTCGCTGGGCAATACTGATCTACGATCATTGTACACTGACATTTGAAAGTTGCAAGTTTTACTAACAAGGCAGCCTTTGAACCAGTGTCTGGAACTAGTGTGTCGCTTCGTACATCAACGTCTTCCTGTTCGGTTCGCAGGCTGGCTGTTCAAGATCGAGCTCTCCAAGCCGGAGGAGCTGGACGCGCTGATGACGGAGGAGCAGTACACGGCCTTCATCACAGAGGAGTGAGTGGCGGGGCGCGGCCGCCGCCGCCGCCGCGGACGTCTAGTGGTGCTACTGAGCGTGAGATGGAGGGACGCTCAGCCCGATACAGCGCGTCAGCACGGCGGGGCCCGCGTCCCGCGCGCTGTGACCGGGTGCCAGTGATGTGGGGGCTTTTCGATAGCTGTGTTCAGGGACGGCAGTCCTCAGAGTAAGTGAGAACTTGCGCTGAGGCACTCACGAAGCTGCATGTGCAATACGATGGTTATTTGAGTACGCATTTTTATCGTGCGCTGAATGACAATACATTGAACACATTTACGCTTTCCTTAAAAGAGCGTGCAAGTGTTCACAACCTAAATTCTTTCCTGTTTATTGCATTGCGTTAAGTATCGCTTGCATACGCTTGCATTACACGACAGAAACTTCGTTTGCCTTTATCGCCTTTTTCACGATCCCGCTTCATACATAGCACAACAATCACGAACGTCAAATAATCGACACACAACATATCACTAAGAGCTTACCTCCACATGGTCCACTAATGCAACTCTTTTGGCACGTGAATGTACCAGTAAAGCCAGACGAACATCATGTATCCGCCGAGGTAGATCCACTGTGACCACTCCTGGTAGAGGACCAGCGCGCTGAGGAACTTCTGGTACGTCTCGCTGGTATAGATGCTGATGTCCTCCAGCATGGAGGGCGGCTGCGGCGCCTGGCTGGCGCGCTGCTGGCGGAGCGCCGCGCTGGCCGACGGCGAGGCGCTGAGGCGTCGCATCTCGTGCACAGCCGAGCGCACCATGTTGCTGGAGATCTCCGGCTCGACGTGGCGCATCTCTCTGCCGAGCCAGTTGTCCGTGTTGGTGACCAGATGCAGCACCTCGGTGGTGTCCGGCTGCTCGGGCTGCTGGCGCAGGTTGAAGGCCAGGTACAGCAGGCGGATGTCGATGATGCTGTCAATGGTACAGAGGAACTGGAACACCATCGAGAAGACGACCCAGATGTCGAACGACTTCAGGTGGCCGCCCTGCGGACTGTAACGCATGTAGACGGACAACATGCTAATCAGCGACAGGTTGGTGGTGCAGTTGATGATGCAGCGGCCCTGCGACACCTCTTTAGGCAGGAAGAAGGCCAGCCACGCGATCATGAAGTGTAGTATGCAGGGCACGAAGACGAGGAGCGTGTAGCGCAGCCGCTGCCTGCTGATGATCAATGTCATGACCAGCCGCGGAAACGGAAAACCACTGTACATGACAAAAGCCGGGCTACCTGTCACCACAGAGATCTTGTAGCCTTCCTTCACGAATGATCTGGACAAACGGACGCCGTGCTCGCTCCAGAGAATCGCCAAGTCGTCGGCGAACATCCCGAAACTTTCTATCGTTATGTTGCACTGATGGGAGTCGAAAGGGAACTTTGAAAAGTGCATTGGGCACATCAAACTGAGAGTGAGTGTCAAGGTGCTCTCGACGACGTAATTGTCTCGAAGGACCAAATCTTCTGCGGTCAGGCCGACTTTTGCGACGTGTATTCCCATCATCCCTTTCATGTAGAAATCGGGCGTCCACAGGTCGTTCCGGTATTTCACTGACGGGGTAAGATGTATGAAACTTTTCCGAGTGGAGTTGTCGACACACTCTGGATTCATGTGTGCTGGGAGTATTATTCTCCTGTCTTCCCACTGTTCTTGATATGTCATCATCATTTGGATTGAACCTTTAATACCGTCAATGTCAACCAAATCTATCAATGTAATGGTGATTTTTACTGGTATGGCGCAGGGTCTCGGAGCCGGCATGTCTGGATTTGGTCGTATCATTTCTTGACACTTCTTTATGGCTTCCATATCCGGTATATCGTTGGCCACATAAGATTCTTCAACTATTTCCATTCGATCGAGATCACAAATGGACAAAGAATGATCGTGCAATGTATCCGTGTCATTGTGAGCCGGTGCATGCGTTGTGTTTGTGTCGTTATGAGCCAACGTTAAACTGAACGCTGCATACAAACATGCACAATGTAGGTAGTACCGCATTTGATATTTCCATGAGTTTAATGAGAAACTCATGCTTTTACGTTGTTTGATCTATCTTCGCTGATAACTTTCCGGTCACATGTTGAACGTGCGAAAGCGGTCCAAAATATTGATTCCATTTCATGAATGACACATGTTGGGTGATTGTGGGGTCATTTTCGCACTGACTATTTGAAGGCTCAGTTGCAGCAGGTCGTTGCGACGCCCTCACTAATGTCTTGCAAGCTCGCTTGTTAGATTCTTCTATAGCCAAAACACTGCCGGGAATGTAACTTGGTCTGGAAAAAACGGGATGGACGGCAAAGCTTTTACCTCTCTCAAGTAAGTGACGGATGTCTTTTCAAATGTTTTGCTATGTCCTCTAAGCCACTATTAGCTTAGAGATACACGATATTTCACTACTGCTACTGTCTGGATACAAACCAAACTGGAACAAAATTGTATACAAATTTGACGCATCATTTTTCACTTCATCGAAATAATGCGAAGCGTGCTCATCATTTTGTACGTCCGCCGCGTGCTCATTTTATTTTTGTCGCGCGTTTCAACGAAACACATTTATACGGCATTTGTACATTGCACATATACGGTCTTGGTTTAAATATTTTCTTCGTGTACATTGTTTTCGCATAGTTTGTGAATTTTATCGAATCAGCAAATGCTTGCATCAGCCTTTTTATCCCGAAAAGCCAAGGTTCCACAGATAAACAAACACGGGAAGGTCACCGACCTCTATGTATAAGGTCTTATTCTTGTTATAGGTAACCTTTCGACATGTGAATCATTTTGACTGCTGAAACTATTATAAACAGGGCTGCGAAGGCGAAGTCGGAGTCAGAGTCGGAGTCGGTCGGAGTCGACGGTTGTGACCGGAGTCGGAGTCGATATTGAAAACCGGAGTCGGAGTCTGAGTCACCGAAATTCCGTCGACTTCGCAGCCCTGACAGGTCTGCGGAGTCGGAGTTGGAGTCGGTCGGAGTCGACAGTCCTTCCCGGAGTTGGATTCGGAGTCGGAATTGGTTTTTTAAAGCCGGAGTCGGAGTCTCCGAAAATCCGTCGACTCCGCAGCCCTGATTTTAAATGCCCGGCTTTTATAAAGCCGGCCTATGTAAATGTAATTACCTAGGTATTGCTTTATAAGCCAACTTTAGAGTCAGGACTGCAGGTCTTTTGAACGCTTGCATACGCATAGCCGTCCTCTTGCCTTGCCCTACCGGCTATCTCACTGCCCAATTTTCCTCGAACCGCCATTGCAGCTTGATTATCAGTGATCTTGTCTGTTTCATGCAGGAGTGTCATTGTTAAACATGGCTGCATCCTACGACCTTGCACAATATCCAGTCGCGCGATTGCTTCGCTCACGCCCCCCTTCACCTACCCTACATGGGATCCTGGACGCGCCTTTGCGACCATGCTCGCTTTCCGTAGCACTCTGTGCCATGCCAAGCTAACGGAACCGTCTGGGAGCATGTCTCAATGACGGAACGTTCGGCCGGCGCCGCGCCTCCAGCCCAGGCGGGCGCGGCGGCGAGGGGGGCGGGGCGGAGGGAGAGGGGCAGCCGTGTGGCTGCGCCGCCGCCGCGCAGTCGCCGGTCGCCAGAGTCGGTTGCGTTGCGTCGGTAGTGCTCGTTGCAGTGCGGATCTCGTTGGTGTGTCGCGTGGGGTGTGTGTGACGGGTTGGCGGGGTGACGAGCGTGTCGCGTAGTTCGACTTGTCATCGCAGGGAAAACCATACAACAGGTAGGTCGGTTCACGGCTGTTTTCGTGACACAACTGGCATATGATACGACCGAAGTCTTCTCACGTTCAGTCTGGCGTGATACCATTTTCCTGCCAGTGAAACGCTCAGGGAAGTTCCGTCAAAAGTGCTCTGGTGCTGAACTCTACAGCTTGTATCAGCCATCGCCCTCTCGAACATTTTGAACGTCCACCCGTCGCTGATCTTTCTTTGCATGCACAGACCGTGATAGTGAGAGCATACTGATAAGTGTCATCGCTATTTTGGACGTCAGACGCCATGTCCGCGTTGCTCGACCCCCTGTTGTACCCCTACCGCCTACGTTCCCTCTACCTCTCGCCAGCTGGCGCCAGTCACGTGGGTGTTGGGGCCGGGAGTGCCGGCCGCTGAAGGTGATGGCCCGCCTCAGTCACGTGCTAGCGGTGCCGGCCGTTGACCCACACCTTGACGCTGGGTCCGCTCGGGGTCATGAACAAACGGACAGGTGTTGGGGTAGGGGACGCTATTGTTGGTATGTAGGTACAGATAGAGTCGTGACAGGTGATGTGGGGCACGATGTGAATAAATATTCATGGCAGAGCTGGGCATTGCGCAACTTAAGTCCGCAACTCCGCAACTCCGCAACTTGCGGACTACCCTCTTGGTAGCGGAGTTACGGATCGGCTACCGAGCCCAAAAAAGTTGCGGAGTTGCGAGTTGCGGAAGCGAAAAATTCTAAAGCGCAACCGCTACCGGGGCCGCCACCGCTGGTGGGGGCGCCACTGTGCTCTTTGCACTCCACTGCACACTGCACGTGTTTCCAGGCTAGTTTTTGAAGCTGATTTCGAATTTAATGACCGTTTGAACATTTACGAAGTAGTTTTAGTGCCTTAGTAACATGTTACGAGGCTTTCAGTGGTGGTTGACACTGGATAGGCGGTAGCACGCCTACTGGTTGACCTGACCTGACCTGACCCGACCAGGCCAAATGCATGAAGACGTCATCTTTGATCAAAACCAACATGAAATTTATTATCAGCGCCCCCCCCCCCCCAAAAAAGCATAAAAGCTTCACTTTACGAAGTTCTAGCAGGTCCGATTTTCCCGACTTTTGGGTCATTGACCTGGCCTGGAAGGTCAACCAACTTCATGACCTATGACCTTAAAATTGGGTATCATCGGCTTCCTCTCGTCACGGGCAACACGCTCATTTTTTTTCCCGCGAAGCTCTAGCTCGATCAGGGGCCGAACGGCAGGGGGGGGGGGGGGGAGGGGGTCCAACCGACGTACACGTTAGACGCTGTAAAACACCGCATGACAGCGAGGGTTAAGTCAAATTTTATGGTCGCCAGCACGGGGCCGGGGTCGGGGGGGGGGGTGTTTGGACACCCCTCCGTAAGGTTTTCCGCAAATATATAAAAGAGGCGGCGGCAGCGCGGCTGTTTTCGACACTGCTATTAACACATCCTTTCCACACATTGTATCAACATGTCAGACCCAGGTCACCTCAGGTCAGGTCACCAGGTCAAGTCAAGGGACCCAATCTCCGAAAAAAATTAAACACCCGCCCTAGCAATACAGGGCAATATAGCAATATAGATACACCTATTGACCGATATCACTTTGAAACTGTCTGCATGTGACAAGGGTAACAAGATATAGGTACAAAGTGTATTGTCTCATATTTTTTTTTAATATTTGTGACTTAAGGTAAGGTCAACTGTGTGACTTCTCCATTATAAGTCAATGGGAGAAAATACAACTCGTCCGGATTTGCGGCAAAATGATCCCAAACAACTAAAACATGCAAAGAGTAGCACTGGCAGGTCATTTACGTCGACTGGTGTCGCAATGACTTGCGCATTGAGCATTATAGGTCACGTGACGTCATCAGAGGTCACCAACAGTCAGGTCACCAACAGAGGTCAACCAAAGGTACTACCTGTCAGACATAACACTGCACTTCAGGACTAAAACTGATAAAACATAGGAACCTAATAGAGGTTGGTAGCGGAGTTGCGGAGTTGCGGAGTTGCGAGTTGCGGTTTTACGATCTGCAAAATAGTTTCGGAGTTGCGATTGCGCTTTGGGTACCTTAGGTTGCGGAAGGTAGCGGTAGCGGTTTCCAAATTTCGGTAGCGATGCCCACCTCTGATTCATGGAATAAATAAATATGCCTAAATAACAGAAGGCACTAGTCGTGGAAATTCGTATTTTTCTGCACCGCCGAGTGCGAGTGGTTTCTGAAAGACGTCGACTGTATATATGGGTGAGATGTGGACGCATCAGTATTTTCCACATCGATGCTGCTTTACTCAAGTTATATTAGGACGGTATTTTCGTCTTGCGCCTTATTTTCCTCATTTTTATGTTAACTATTTTTTTTGCAAGTGACTTGGTTGCGCGGTGGTACCGTTTACTTGGCACAGCACAAATCTGCTGTTGTCGGTCTCGCCACGTCTCT